CCCCCCCCCCCACACACACATCTGGATCACTCATCGCGGTCCCACTTTGAGGGGCAACCAGAAGCGTGCACTCAAGTGGAGGAGATGTGAGAGAAAGAGAATGAATTAGTGTTTTTCGTCATTTTTTTTAGCTGGTTATTTGACATGGCTATTTAACGATTATCCGGGATATTGTGATATTGTTGTTGTTGTTGTTGTTGTCCCACATCTATCCCCTCATTATCAATAAATCGCTCCATCTGGTTACTGTTTAGCTTCACGAATGTAAACCACATTTGATCGCATAAATTTTTATGGGTGACCCAGTCTCAAGAAAAACCAAGAAACATAGTGCAGACCGGAATTTCGAACGAATGTTTAAAGTCTTCTTGTCTGGTTACCCCAAATCAAAGCACAATAGCACATTTCATGCTGATTGTGGCTAATCGTTTTTTTTTCTTCTTCAAAGTTTACATCTTTACTGACACAAAAGAAAAATCACTCAAAAGCAAAACAGTATGGCGAACAAGCTTGTTTTCGTAACGTGGTCTTCAGGCCTTTACAGTTATGTGTGCGTATTTATATCTCATGTATATGTGTATATATATCTCATGCATTTTCACACATAACCTCTATGGTCCAATCACATTTATTTCTACATGAGATATAAATAGCACACATAACTGTAAAGGCCTGAAGACGAAGTTACGAAAACAAGCTTGTTCGCCATACTGTTTTGCTTTTGATATTCATTAGGGGAATCTTCCGTGAAAAATCACTCAATTTCGTTCTCACGTGTACAGACCAAAGAAAGCACGCGATGAGAAAACATTCATGTATGAAATTCTCCGATAATTCCAATTTGTCTACGGACACACTTGTCAATGCACTCATTGTTCCCACTTCACTCCATCCCATCCAACCCCACCTAACTCCATCCCGACAGGAAATTGTATATTCGACTGGACAATCAATGTCTGTGTGCAATTGGTTGACATTGATTGAGTCTCTCCGGGTTCGTCAATTCGCATCCAGAATGGAAACGGTCGGTGTGGGGGAGGAGAGCAAACATGAATATCGCATTGTAAAATCTATATTTATTCCAAAACGGTGTACACAGGAGCGCACATGTGCGCTCGACATATTGAGTCTTTACGAGTTGTCATATCCACCGGTAACTTCCAGTGTTCTCTTGCCTCTGTGTTGCTGTGACCATGTACACACAGTGTGGTCGTGATAGTTGTGTCGCCCGGGGCAACTGACAATCAGTCGGGGGTTGCGGTGGGTTTGTAACCCCGTTGGATGCCGGACCTGGTCAGTATTAATCCTCTGGTCGGTGTCTCGTGCGATTCGCCAGCCTCGTATTAACAAGTTATAACGCGTCTTTTAAGTAACGGTAATATGTGTTTAATAGGTCTGTGTGTGTGTGTGTGTGTGTGCGCGGCCCACCAAATACACCAGTATTGGAGATGCTCATTGACCATGTTGTGCCCATGCAAAGTACCCGGCTATTCGACAAAATGTGCTCTCTCTCTCTCTTTCCAGAGTGGAAATTTTCAATGCCAATTTGTTTTACACAATCCAAATAGAGTGGGAAATTTCACACATGGTTCATGCAGAGGTGGCCCGATGGTAATCTCGCCAAATTATCACCCCCAGAGGAACGAGTGTTCGAATCCCCCAACACCATCTCCTAACTTTTCCCAACTGTGTGTTGCATGGCAGTTCCGTTTGATTGGCCGCTTCCCCCTTCGTAAAAATTGCAGCATTGTGTATTTATTAAAAAACAAATAAAAATGAAAAGAAAAAGAAAAGAATTAAATAAATATCGACAGGAAATATGTACTTGGACCGGAAACCATTGATGAAATACCGTGGAAAGAAATGCGCTCACGGTAAAAATGGAATTGTAGTCGTTCGTACCTCGGAAATCCTCTCAGTGTATGGTCGGGGGTGGGGTGGGTGAGTGTATAGGGTTGCGGCTGATCACCCTTCCTTTGCACCTCGCGCGAAGTGCTCCTATACGACCAAGCGTCTCAAATAGCCTCTGCTGAGGAAGCGCTACTCACTGCCCTCTCGTGACGGAGGTGTTTTCTCACTAAATTGAAACGACCATAAGCCGACATCCGGCGCTTTAACCGGGTTGTTGGACCACTGACTGTTCACCTATGGGGATTTGGCCAGAAACCTTGATTCCAAACCAACCAAGAGGAGACGTACGAACCACAACCCACACCTTGCTGGTTGTAGCCGTGGTCACCGGCTCCATTGGGCATCGAGGTGTATGGTGCACTTGGACATTTGACCTCACCCAAGGAGCCTGTGATTCCATGAACTGGACACCGGCCCCCAATGGGTTGCGGTTTTCGCACACTGTCCAGCTGCCGTGCCGGTCAATCTCTAGCTAGTCGACGGATCCGGTTGTGATTTCCTCAAGAGAATTCAGCTGCCTTGGCGTGGACAACGTGGTAGTAGTCGGACCACATGCAAATCATGAAACGTCTTTCTTTCTATGGAAATTATTGTACCATGATTTGTTTGGCACACAGTCTCAATTCAGACGTGTGCGAAATTATATATAAATATATGTACCGCTATTCCCCCCCCCAGCTCTCTGTTATGTTTATCTTGGGGGTCGCCACATGCGATTCTCCAGTTCAAGTCTCTGGGCTTCACGATCGACCGTTTTCATAAGTGATTAGAGGATACCTAGGTGAGATACAATATCCACTATCGCGAACTATACTTCGACCTGATTTGCTATGGTTTTCCTCAACCATGGAGTTTATTTTACTGTATCAGAGGGTGCGTGCGGCAAAGGGGACGAATCTACAATGTGTGGCTATAGGAACCGAAACATTTAACATGTGTGNGGGGGGGGGGGCATTGAGGTCCCAGTGAGAAATAAGGAATTCGAGTTGTCATTTTGAGAACGATTTTAATCTCTTGCACTACGCACACGACCGGATGAATAGGACACCACCCCTCACTCACCCCCTCCCCCCAACAGGTTTCATACATCATCCCATTGCTTTGCGGGTCCGGTGTTGGTTGGCCCAAAGTTTCCGATTACAAAATCCCCAACATCTGCTTTGGCCTGGGTACTCTGGTATTATCCCCACGCCAGGGCAAATCTTGGAACTTTTTCTTTGCTGTAAAGGTCATTGTACCCCTGGTCCGTTTGGCATACAGACTGGACTCAGACGCATGCAAAAGATAATAATAATAATAATAATAATAATAATAATATAATCAAAATATATAACATGCTAAACTGTGAGACGCGATACTGCATCAAAGGGCATGTACCCATGCAGTGGCCTTAACTGCATTCACGACCCGGCAATCTACTCCCGGGAGTGGTTCGAACTTAGTCAGAACATGTGCCAAATCTTCAT